TCCCCTGAAAACCGGCTGTCCAAATGACACAACTGAACTGTCCGATTTTCATTGGCATGTGTCAGTGGAGAGTGGCATGTGTCACTAAAATGTCACTAAAACTTGTGACACATGCCACTCTCCTGTCCACTGACACATGCCACTGAAAACCGGAAGTGCCACCGGAAGTGTCCCTGAGAATAGCGGCATGTGCCAATGGCATCTGTGCGTCAGATGTCAAGTCACTTAATGTTAAAACTGCCTCTCCAAATTTTTCCAAAACAAAATTGCAACTACAGTCAATCTTATTTACACACTGAATTGGCCCAACTCATCTGTTTAACAATCTATAGTGGATTACATACAGACACATGCTAATGTGTTGTGCATGCCAAACAAAGGTGGTTTTGAGCCATATTAAGAACCAAAACAAAAAGCTGTAATCTTTCATTATATATATATATATAGTCTTATTTCCCAGCTGCAATGCTGGTATCTTCCCACCAGGTGGTGGATGCGTAGTTTTTTCCCCATTATATCACTTCGCTGAATGCTACACTAAAATTGTCAGTACCACCTCCCTTTGCCATGAAAGGTGACTCCTGAACATCTGTTTCCAATAAGGCACCACTAATGAGGTCTTCATGTTCCCATCACTCTCCTTATACCAAAGATTTGTTAGTTTGCTCTTTCATTTTTAAATAAATTTTTTAGTAACAAATTAGTATGACATGGTCTAAATCTACTAGTATTTTTAGTGTAACAATTTCATGTTCTTCTCTGTTCTTCTATGACTCCAGAAGACTTGGAATGTTGCACATGAGTTGCACGGCCTGATTAACAAGGCTTTAATGGCGTTTCCTGTCATTCCTGTCATGAAGGTTGACAGCCCTTGAACTGTCACTGTATGAAAAAAATATACAAGATTATGCACGATTCTGCAAATTTTCCTTAAATGCTGCAAAGGAAAGAAATCCATTGAGGTCTGGAAAGACATGACGGTGAGAATTACTAATCCTTCAATATTAAATTAAATAATTTTATACATTACGATGGCCAAAAATGTTCAATTGCCTTTTACTTACCTCATATATTAGTCACTAACGATTGAATAAAGACTACGGGAAAGAAAAAGGCGAAATCCGGCTATTTCTCGCAAAAGTCTCATTAGAAAATAAACGGAAATTCTGAGGTGGGAGGAGAGCGCGAGGAGCTGCGTCCAATCGTGTGCGACATCCTGCTGAATAAAGGAAAAAAAAACGTCCGTTGAAAAGCGTGAGGTGGGGGAAAGCACGTCAAGCTTTCTATACGGCTCGAATGATCTCAGCGTGTGCTGGTACATTTCATTTAGCTCAATCGGAGAAGTCAATCGTTTAGACCAGCGGAGGAATCAAATGATATTTCAACCGACTGGCGCACAGTGAGTGGACCGGACCGGGCAGCAGATCTCTCATCCCCTTTCTCTTCAGCAGACTGATAAGGAGACCTAGATGGTGAGTTTCTCCGCTTTGATTCAGCTGCAGCCAGTGAACCCAACGACCCCCTCGCCGTCTATTGTGGTGAGGTGCAGAGTCCGCTAGCTAGAGAGCTATCAAGCGCTAACTGGGATACTGGGCTGAAATGTACTGCTAATGCAGTAATCCATCAATTCAGATTATTTGCTTATTGTAGAGATGTATTTATGGGAGCGTTGAGATTGGATACAGAAGATGAATACTAATCAGACCTGTGTTGTGGGAGGCTAACGTTAGGTCTCAGGGTCCAAAGCTGTCATGTGTCTTCTTGAAGATGCGTGTTTCCACATGAATTAAGACCGAAAAGGCACGAACGTCCGAAAACAAAGCCTTAAGGTTTTGACACCTGGTTTTTGTCGACCCAGTTTAGTTCACGGTAAGATGGACCGGTTCTTTCGTACTGAGTCGGTCGTAAACTTACACGGGGTTTGTTTGATTTTGTAACCAGAGATTTATTGTAACGTTACTTACTCGCATTGTTACCGTGTATTTTTGCTGTTATATGATGCTTGATTACATAGAATTGCGTAGCCCAGCCTGTCTGTCTCTAATGCATCTTTTCTCCTCTCTGTTCGCTTTTACATTTCTTCATTTGGCAGACACGCTCATTCAAAGTGACTTGTAGTGTATTCAGGTTTCGCATTCTGTTTGTTTCTTTGTGTGACATTATTAATTCAGATGTTGACATTAATTACTCAACCCAAATTTACCCTAAACTGTAGCCTACTTTCATAGACGAACATCCTTTCTTTTGTCATTCTATCATGGAAAGCAGTGACTAGCACCAAGCACAGGTTTTATGTGGAAATTTATGTAAATGTTTTTGATGTACACCAGTGAATCTCAACCTAATGTTGTCATAGTAACATGTTTGTTTAACTCCTGCCCAGCATCAGCTGGCCGAAAACATATATGCTCACAATAATAATGGGAACAAATGTATGTTGACCAGTTTTAGATGATTATCATTTTGGGAATACAAGCAATGTCACACTTGCATTCATGCTGTTGTACTTAATATCAGTATGACAGTGATTCTGTTGTAGACCTGAAACTGCTGGAAATCACAGTTGTGGTGATATTCATTATTACTACATGAATGCAAGTTCTAATAGCCTGAATAATGCCAGTTAATTTGTACATTTGTTCTCATAGTTCTAAAAGTACAAATAAGTTCCCTCTCGAGCTTTCACGAGACATCACGGAGATATTTCTCCGTTATGGGAACTCCTTCCCTTCCAACCTTTCCTGAAGGTCTCGTTCCCGCTCTCAGGGAACCGAGGTTACGACAGTAACCGGAGCGTTTTGCATGTTCCTGGTTTGGAATAGCGTATGTGTGGACTTTAGTGACAGGGATTTTCTCACTCCCCACACACTGAGGGAAAAAAAAGAAGAAAAAGCACAAAGCTCATTTGTGAGAGAAAATGTGGATGCTTTGACTTCCACTTTGAAAAACTCGCCCCACTTCCATTCTGCATACTCCAGACTAGAGTGAAACGTCCCAGTTTTACAGTAAATATCACTACTGAATCAAACTTGAGGAACCAGCTAACTGTTGGATAATGATAATGAACCAATAAAGCTTAAATATGTGTATCTTTAGTCTTTAAAGCTTCCATTTCTTTTGGACTGTTGGTTGCTGTCATTAGTGATAGTGGCACTTGGTTTTGTGGTTAGGGATCACCATCTGGCAGTGGACTGTCTAATCAAACATATGTACGTTCTCAGTTAAATTGGCTCCATTGGGCATTCAGCAGCACAAGGAAAATGCCTGTTTCAGCAAATGATGTGCTTGAGAGATTGCGAGTGCTTAAGAAAATGAGACAAATAAACTTAAATGTGATCTCTTTCGGAGTGTTGCTTTTTAATGATGCCTTCTTTAATTAGAGGTGTCAATCTCTGTTGCTTGAGTTAAGAGTAGACTGCAGAGGCCCTCAGGGTTTTTGGATGAAACTAAGCCCTGAAGATTGCAGATCATTCATGTGGAGATGACAGCCTGCGGCGTCAACTGTCCAGTTGTCAGAAACAAATGTGGAGGCATGCCATTCCAGGTGTTTCAAAACGTTGTAACTTGCAAGAACATAAAAATATTTTTGTGAGAGGCCGCAAGAAAATATCCATAGTGGAGTTTTTTTTTTTCCCCCTAAAATCTCATTCATAAAAATATCAGATTATTTAATCATGGGCATCTAGGTGTGTCTATCCATTCAAGTCTGTTCAGGTCTACCATCAAATGCAGTGTTTTCTTTTGTACAGTGTTTTTGCATGCTGTGCATCAGTAATTGTTCATGTTTGAGCTGACTGGTCTACTCTTATGACGCTTTTCCACTGCGTGGTACGACTCGGCTCGATTTGCGTTTCCACTACAGTTTAGTACTGCTTTAGAGTGGGCGGGATTATTCACATGTCGTTATAGCTGCGCCGCCTCTACTGCCGCGACTCCAGAAAAACGTTTTCATTCCGTGTCGCCCCATCAAGCTCTCGCTGGATCCGCTCCTCTGCTATCAAGGAGAGGAATGTCTGTACTTCCTCAACAGACCACGAAACAGCCATTTTTTGGTTGTTAAAAAAGGTGCGCTCGTTCAAAACAGTTGTGTTCGATCCTTCGCTGGCTGTGCTGATTTAAGTTCAGTGACGCAGGTAGTGAAGATTCTCTCCGGCCAATCAGTGATCAGCAGAGTTTACCCATCACGTTTTGGTAACTGTACGGTTCACTTGGAACCTCAACCGAGGTGGAACAAAAAAAGTACCAGGTACTGTACCCAGTGGAAAAAACCTCAAAAGTGAACCGTACTGAACCGGACCATGCAGTGAAAAAGCGCCATTAGTCTCTTGACTATACTTAGATCTCCATACTAATGAAATTATGCCAACAAGGACTCTGGGACAGCCTCTGCAGAGTGATAATGGAACCCTTTTTTTCCTCGCAAAAAAATGTCTCCTTATATGGAGAAAGAGAAGAAATTAGGCTTGCTCCATAGGCCTAAATAGAATTTTCCACTGAGTGACTAGCTGTAGTCGATGTAGTGGTTATCTGTGGTGTCCCAGCAATGCGTCTATGACTTCAATATTGGTTCATGTATGTATTTGTGAAATTTGTAAAATGTATTTTTTATTATGTTAATGCAGGTATTTTAGTGTCCGTTATCGCTATATGTTTGACCTGTCAAGCCCTTACTGGCATTGAGTTTGACGCAACATGAGACACGTTAGACACTTCTAGGGCTCTTTTGTAACACACTTTTTTTTTTTCTTTGGTAAAATGGCTTTCCTATTCTGAAAATGAGTGTGTGAAATGTTCTGTGAAAGGACAAAAGACGAGAGGTTTGCCACCCCTCCATGTTTGTCAAATCTCATTGAACAGAGCAATGTCTCTTGGCAATTCTGATTGCTGTAGATGCTGATGGCTGTGTTTTGTTTAGTATCACAAAGTGCCTAGATCAAGTTTCGAACTCTGTCTGAACATGTTTGAAAGGCTTCAAAAAAGAGATGTGTCTTAGCAGTACCGTTTTAAGTAAAGTTACAGTGTTTTTCTGCTCATTTTCTGAAAGTGTTTTGTGAAGTGTAGCAAACATAAACTAAGTCAACGGAAAATGAGGTGGGAGGCGTGTTTGAAAACAATCATTATTTTTGCAGTTGTGTTCTAGTGGCGCCACTTCAGCTTTAACAGGTGAAATTGTACACCGTGCACTTTCTCTTGGTCAAAGGTGTACTGTGGTGTCAAATGAAACATTAGACTGTTTCTCTTCAGCCCTGCCCACAAGCCTTCTCTTTAAAACATACTGTACAGGCGTTTTCAGATTTTTTTTCTGCCTCAACACATTTAAAGATTCACATCCGTGTGTAGACTCCAGCATCAGCTTCTGTCTGCAGCTCAACGCATTGGTGAAGACTTTCACATTCTTCTGTAGAAGTGTTTAAACATTGGCGTTTTCTGTACCCTAATGCAACTACTTTCACACTCCGGCACAGGGTTTTTCTGCTCTCAGCAAGTGTTCAGTCAGCTCTGACTTATGAAAATGAGAACTATAGTGGTTGTAGAAGCAGTTAAAGCCCAGGAAATAGGCCTAACGATGGTACAAAACATGAGGTAGAAATTTGACTAAGCCAAACTGAAGCCTTCATTTAAAACAAATGCAACATGTCATACATCTATAGAGTCAAGAGTAATTGGCAGGCAAAGGCTTTGAGTATTTGCTTTGTTTTGTATCTCGTGTGAGTTATCTACCTAAACTGAAAGTAAGTAATGCATTGCAGTGGAGAAATGCACAAAATGACCAAATCTTTTGGAAAATTACTTATTGATAGGCACTAGTGAAGGAAGACTAACTCTAATTAATTAATGTATGTGTTTTGGTGCCTGAAGGCTCATTTTGTTTTTCTAGTACAAGGAGATCAATCATAGCTTGACTTCTGCAAAAATGGGCCCTCCAGCATCTTTTAAAACATTGCTTCTCATTCATGGAGGCCAGCCAGACTCCCTCAGGGTTGCTCGAATGTCTTATCGGTGTTGCCAGGAATTTTGACAAAAGAGTTTTGTCTTCTAAATATGACTCATTTCTCTTGTTCTTTAGGAATTGTTATCTTGGCAAATTATGGCAAAAAGGACGTCAGCCAAACCATTCACTCCATGTTTAGGTTGCCCTGTTTTTACTTAGTATTCCAGAGGATCCATCCACAAGTGGTCGCCCAAATTAGATTGTCATTTACTAGGGATGCTCCGATCGATCGGCCGGAGATCGGTATAGGCCGATAATCAAATTTTATGACTCGATCGGTACTCGCTACACTTGGCCGATCTCACGAACCGATCACAATTTGATGACGTCAACGCGTGATGACGTACATGATGCGTGGGGACATAAATGATTTGGCGCCACAGTCATGTCATCGCTGGTGTGGAAATGCTATGAAATTTCGAGAAACAATTAAAAATTCGCTATTTGTAGTGTATGTTTTGCATGATGATATGATGAATG